GATGTCATATATTTTAATTATTGTTTTGTATTATTGTTTCAATTTGAATGGTTTGAAAAACAAAAAAAAACAAATTTATATAAAAGATTAAGTAATTAAACGTAGGCGTAAATTATCATTATAAGTAACTAATACTGATTTAGAATTAAAAAGAAAACAGTTACAGTTAGATGCAAAAACGTTCAATAAAATTTACGAACAATGCAATGCATTTTTTTATGTAATACAAATATTAAAACTATCTTATTTCTTATTACAACTTAGATAAATACAACTACTTAACTCTACTGCAATTTTCACAAAACGCTAATAATAATATACCAAACGTTGCTCTTAATCGAATTAAATTACCGGTTTTGAGCTTACATTAAATTGTAATTAGATGAAACAAAATGGATTCTATGTATTTTGAGGTGATCTTTTCGAAAAAAGGCAAAACAAAATGTAGCAGTTTTTCTAAAGTGCCGAAATTTTGGATTTTGTCAATTTTTCAATTTTGCGCATGCGCATGTCGCAAATAAATCAATATTTTAAAACGCAGTTTACGACATTTAAAAGCTTAGAAAAAATGCTAATTTTTATGTCTGTTGAGAAATTTTGATCCGATGCACCGTTCTCGCGGTATGGACGATTGAAATTTGTTTAGTATTTTGAGCGAAGGTCGAAAAATTGAATTTGTTAAATGTTCAAACACTAAATTCTTCATAACTTTGGTAAAAATTAAGATATTTGAAAAATCAAAAATTCGTTTTGAATTTAAGATATGTGACTATTGATTTCCAGAAGGGGGCAAGAGAAATTCCAAAATTGGGCATATGGCGAAAGGGCAAAGTGTACCGCAAGCCTAATTTCATTGTTTGTCTATAACGGCCAAACTATTTAAATTTTTTTAATGCCACTTACAGAGATTACTCTTAAATATTAAATCTTATAAATGTGTGAATTTTACCGAAATCGGATTATAATTGGCCAAGATATCAAACAATTTAACAAATTTTTTTCCCTAAAAAAAACTAAATTTTTTTTCGAAAGTTTGAAGTGGCACAAAAATGCCAAAAATGCACCTAATGACTCAAAACTTTTTTTTTATACTCTATTATGTCTAGAATACGATTACATTACGGAAAATTCTGCAAAAATATTTTATCTATTTTTTTGACCACTCTTCATTGAGTGACGACCAAAAAACACGGTTTTTGAGAAAAGTTGCCTAAAATTGACGATTTTCAGTTTTTTGGTCTGAAAATTGAGCAAACCCAAATCTGATGTCTTCTGAATGTATGTACAAAGTTTAAAGTGTGTATGTTTCTTCTAAGTTGTAGAATTCTCCCGACAAAAGTCCCATACACGCGCTTCGCGGGATCCAAAACTCGTGCATTTCTTTAATTTGATTTTTTTGTGATTTCCAGTTTTAAATTTCTTACATACCTAAATTTATTAGGCCTAAAATTTATTAAATTGTATTTTACTGACTTGTTATAAGACGTTTCTTCAGTTTTGTGCAAAAAATAGAATTACCGCAAAATTAGCCGGACGTCGTATCAAGGATAGCCATGGTCTCGGCGTTCGTTATCCGACAAGTTTAAACGTGAAACGGTCATATTATTACAAATTGAATCGGTTGATAGTGTTCATCGGCATAGATTTTTAATAACCGTGTTCAGCAAGCTCTGTGTACACGTGGTTTTTCGGACTTCTTCAGCAATTTATTAAGTAAGTACTGTAACGGTTTGGCTCTACGGACGAGACAGTGCCAGGGTTTGCCACAACAGTACGAGACAACGAACCGTCAAGGTGACAGGAAACCCAACCTACAATCGGACAGGCTGACAGAAACTTGGAGAAAGTGTGAGGAATGATCGAGAACGGTCATGGAAGCCGTTACCATGGATTATTGATGATATGACACTGTCAATTTGGAGTGGAAGAGAGAAAGCCGGTCAGCGCGTGGCGGATCAACGTTTTCAATTGTAAATAGTAATAATTGTAAATAGTTTACGCGTTGGGATAGTTATTTTGTATTTTAATTAAATAAATAGTTTCAACCCACACTCGTGTTACAGTACGTTCCTAAATTAAGAAAATTCTATCACAGTGCTATAATTTTTTTGTTTCCAGGTTGCAATGGCTGGCCTGTGTTTATTATGTCATCAGAAACTTGCAGAAGGTGAACTTACCCCAATTAGACCGACAGGATTGAAAGGTCAGCAAAGAGAGAGGGGATGATTTTTTCAGTTTTTTAGAACCAGGTTTTATATTTCATGAGAGGTATCGCAAATATTACGTAGCTCGACGTTACGGAAAAGAGTTTATTTATAAAACCTGGGATAGGCATAAAAGGGCCGCGATTGACAATGCCAAAAAAAGGAGGATGGAGCATCAACCGAGAAGAAAACCAGATGTTAGAGAACAACAAACAAGCTTATCACCAAGTTGGAGTTAGTTTCTCCAAATATATATTTTTTGTAAGATGTTTTCGGAAAACCCGGAGAAAATCATATGGGAAAAAAATTTAAAAAAATTTACTCCTTCCGGTTTCCTACGAATTCCCGAAAAATTATGGAAGATTTCGCCGCGGGACATATTTTATTTGAGAGCCCACAAAAAAATACGCAACTTCTTTCATGGGCACATATGTCTAACATTTATAATTTCGCCACAAATTCATTGCAAATTTCATGTTCATGATTCTGATCAAAGAAACGAAAAAACAACTTTTTGGTAAAAGCACTTCTGGCGGCGAGAAATTCGCCATTAAAACTACCTGTGCAATGAAATTCCGAACTATTTTTGTCTCCTCTTTCGATTGGTGCATTTATTTTTACTATCAGAATGATACTTGCCCAGATAATTAGCATTTTTACCATGGAAAATTCCGGAAAACCCGGTTTTTCCTAATTTAAAAAAAATTGAGAAACAGCTACATCATTTTTTCTTTTTTTCAGAATGATCACATCAAAATACACAAGGTCCACTTTGTTTCATCCAATTACAATTTAATGTAAGCTCGAAAGGGCTTTTTTTCGTTATTTAATTGGACTATCTACATACATTGACAGCCATATTTGACGTTAAACCACCTCTAAAACACTGAGAAAACTTGGTAGTTTTTTGTCCACGAATCGCCCATTTAGTTTCGCTTCTTGGGAAGGTATTCTTTGCTTTGGATGTCAGATTTGTTCTAACATATTTATAGAACTTTTTGCTATCAGCACAGTTGGCGATGTACTCCTGATAGGTATATTTTGCTTCGATAACTGCCTTTAGTTGATTGAAGAATTGTCGATGAGCAGAGAAATCGTTCATATTGGTAGTTCGCTTTAATTTTTTCAATAGGTGTTTCTTATGTTTTACCATAGACAGCAGTTAATTATTTATCCAGGGTTTCAGATTTGTTCTTCTGTTTATTTTGTTTTTAGTATGAGATTTTACACAATCATTAACTGTATTTTGAAGGATATTCCACATGCAGCTCGAATCATTGCTTTCAGGGATAAAATGTGATAAAGTAAATAAAGAAATTGAAGAATATGACTGGACCATTTAAAGTGAATCTGAGGACAATTTAGAATTAGATGAGGTCGAGGATTTCCAAAAGATTGATGATCGAAAGACGAGTCTTAAGTCCACTGCTCCCGTGATATTGTAACTAGCAAGACTGAAGATTAATCTAAATTAATTAGAGTTAAAAATTCCGATTTTCTACTTGTAGCACTTTTGGGGAAAACAATACAAGCATTTTGTTGCACAAGTTATTGACAAAGAAAAAGATTGCTGTAGTGTAAAGTTTTTAGGACCAAAAAATCACAAAACAATTTTTGTTTTCCTGATATCGATGACACAGGCCTTATTCTTTAACACGATATTGTGACTATTTTGGAATCGCCAAAACTTGCATCGACATCGAGACAAATTTTTACATTCGAAAATTTTGATTTTTCCAAATATAACATGTTTTAGTTTTTTGTTTCGTAAAAATTTAAATGTTTATTTTGAAGCATTTGTTAAGTGACTTACTATCTACTTAGAAAAGTTAAGAATTATGTTTTTATTATTTTTTTACCTAAGAGTTATTATCATTTTACCAAAGAGTTATTATTATTATTTTATAAGAGTTGTTTGTTGACTTGCAAAGAGGTAAATGTTCCTTTATTTTCTTAGAAATATACATTTTTAATGTAAAAATGAATTATGTTTATTAAAATATATTTTTTAAACACATTAAAGGAGGGTAAAGTAACCCTTCGAGACTGTTAACTTGGCCTGTACGCTTAAAAACGTGCAAAAATGTCAGTCGAGGTAACTTTGCCATTTTTTTAAACTTTCTAATTCTTTTTATGCTTTCTACTTACAAAACTATGTAGCCAAAGTATTAAATTTTCATATAGTTAGAGCGGGCTTTATAATTCCCAACAGAACCATAGATATTAAAAAAAACAAACAAAAAGTTTGTGCAAAGTAACCCCACTTTACGGTATTGTCAAAATGAATTATAACAAAATATTATCCAAAATAAAGCTAGAGTCTAACCATTTTAAAAATTTTACTTTCATTTAGCGAATTACAGATAATTGATTTATTTTTTTCCCGATAACGGTCGCTGATAAAAAAAAATTACATAAAAACAAAAAAGTTTCTAAACAAAAGAAACAATCCATTTCATGTTTTATATTTTACCAGCGACGCACCGCAAAAAAGTTCAGGAAAAGGAAAAGCGACACATCCCTGAAAAAATATCACCCTGTAGAAAATCACAATCATTTAATATGCCCAATAATGTAACCTATATTCCAAATTTGAGCGAAATACCTCAAAAACTGGAGCAGCTATAAATAAAAACAAAAAAAATCTCGAATTTTCAACACTTTGTATCCCGAACACGGATGAAGTTAGAAAAAATTTTTACAATCCTAACCCCTTTTATTTTTCAGTACTCTACCTGACATAACTTTTTTGAAACACTCTGTAGAATAGAAAATTAATTGTTTAAATTTTTTTACCTGGCAAACTTGGTATAATCAACTCGAAAACAAAGTTCTGTCCTTTCTTCGGCGTTGTTAAAATCGGAATGATCTCGTAAAATTCTCTTACTGAGCCTGGCCAACCGTGGACCATTAATAGAGGCAAAACTTTAATTCCTTGAGTTTGTGCTGGTTTGACGTGGATGTAATGGATATCCAATCCTTGAATGTTGGTTTTAAATTGGGGATATTGGTTTAGGATCTTTTCTCTCTGAGTCCAGTTGTATTTCGTTTTCCAGAAATCGATGATGCTCGTTAAAAGTTTATCGTTCATACCATAATGTTGTTTAACGCCTTCTAGAGATTTTTGGAATGGCAGGGCTCTGTCTAGTCGGTCTTTGAGGTCTTTTAAAATCTAAAAAAAGATACTTTTAAACATTGTGTACCAAAATACCAGTTCAGTCGAGCAGTGTATTACGATTATTAAATTCTATTAAACTCTCATTAATAATAATGGTCCTAAGAGAGATAGATCCTATAGTCCAATTAAATAGACCTTTAAATCAAAATTTTGGAGGAAATACAGAAATTTTTGATATGTCACTTTAGAGTATTTGAAAACGATGTGTGAAAAAATTTTGTCTTTCAGGCACCGGCAAATGTCAAAAAACAAGAAAATAAAGTGCTTTTTTAAGGTTATTTAAAAACGGTAGGTGCTATAAAAAAAAGTGTTTAATAAAACTTGTAAAGCATAAAGTTTTACATAAAAATATTATTTGACATTTTTTGCTATTATTAAAACTGACAGAGTTAGGGTGGTTAGAAATTAAGAGGAGATTTATATGACTTGGAAAAATCAGCGAGCTGAAAATTCAATGATTTTGTAGTTTCTTTTTATTATTTATTCAGAAAATTATAAATATCTTTTAAGAAACATATTTTTTTTTTATTTATTTATAAAAAATAAAAATAAATAATGAAATAAAAAAAATTAAAGATATGTACAAAAATTTAAATAACAAAAAAAAAAGGTTAAAAAAATTAAAAATAACAAATAATAAAAAATAATTCCAAAGATAAATGTAAAAGAAAAAAAAGTAAAAAAAAATAAAAAAAAAAATAAAAAAAAATAAAAATAAAAAATATTTATTTTTATTTATATATAACAAATAAAAACTAAATAAAAAATAAAAGTTAAATAAAAAATAAAAATGAATATTTTTTATTTTAATTCATTTTTTTATTTATTTTTATTTCTTTTTATTTATTTTTATTTACTTTCTTTTACATTTACCTTTTCATTTATTTTTTATTTATTTTTGTTTAATTTCTATTTTTAATAAATTATTCATTTTTATTTAATTTTTTTTAACCATTTTTAATTATTTTTATTTATTTTCTTTTACACTTATCTTTTTATTTATTTTTGTTCAATTTAATTTATTTTCTTTTACACTTATCTTTTCATTTATTTTTGTTCAATTTTATTTATTTATAATTTATTTTTATTTATTTATGTATAAATAAAAATGAATAAAAATAAAATAAAAATAAAAAAATATTTATTTTTATTTATATATAACAAATAAAAACTAAATAAAAAATAAAAGCTAAATAAAAAATAAAAATGAATATTTTTTATTTTTATTTATTTTTATATTTTTATTTATTTTTATTTGTTTTTATTTATTTTTATTTATTTTTATTTATTTTTATTTATTTTTATTTATTTTTATTTATTTTTATTTATTTTTATTTATTTTTATTTATTTTTATTTATTTTTATTTATTTTTATTTATTTTTATTTATTTTTATTTATTTTTATTTATTTTTATTTATTTTTATTTATTTTTATTTATTTTTATTTATTTTTATTTATTTTTATTTATTTATTTTTATTTATTTTTATTTATTTTTATTTATTTTTATTTATTTTTATTTATTTTTATTTATTTTTATTTATTTTTATTTATTTTTATTTTTATTTATTTTTATTTATTTTTATTTATTTTTATTTATTTTTATTTATTTTTATTTATTTTTATTTATTTTTATTTATTTTTATTTATTTTTATTTATTTTTATTTATTTTTATTTATTTTTATTTATTTTTATTTATTTTTATTTATTTTTATTTATTTTTATTTATTTTTATTTATTTTTATTTATTTTTATTTATTTTTATTTATTTTTATTTATTTTTATTTATTTTTATTTTTTTTTATTTATTTTTATTTATTTTTATTTATTTTTATTTATTTTTATTTATTTTTATTTATTTTTATTTATTTTTATTTATTTTTATTTATTTTTATTTATTTTTATTTATTATTTTTTTCTTTATTTATATTTATTTTAATATTTTTATTTATTTTCTTTTATACTTATCTTTTTATTTATTTTTGTTTAATTTTATTTATTTTAAATAATTTACCTATTTTTATTTAATTTTTTGAACTATTTGTTATTATATTTATTTATTTAAATTTTGTTTGTTTTTTATTTTATTTATTTTAATTTATGTTTTTAGTTTTTTAGTTTAATTATTTTTAATTTTCATTTAATTTTATTAATTTTTATTAATTTTTATTTATTTTTATATATTTTTATTTATTTTTATTTATTTTCTTTTACTTTTATCTTTTTATTTATTTTTGTTTAATTTTATTTATTTATTTATTTTTATTTACTTATTTTTATATGTTTTTAATTTAATTATTTTTATTTATTAATTTTTTATATTTGTTTCTATTTTTTTATTTTTTTAATATTTTTATTTAGTTCTTTTTTGTATGTTTTTATTTTTATTTATTTAATAGAATTTTAAGTGGGGACCAAACTGTCGGGATATCGTTTTTATATGTTCACTCCTCGTATTTTTCATATCAGTCAAGCTACTTAATTACTTAAAAATTTATTTTACTATATAAATTCATATAATATATTGAAAATTTCTAAATTAAAATTGTTATAACTCAAAAAAACAAAAATTTTTTTTTCATAGAAGCAATTTATAATTTTCTGAGTAAATAATAAAAGAATAAAAAGAAACTACAAAATCATTAAATTTTCAGCTCGCTATGATTTTTCCAAGTGATATATCTCTTCCTAATTTCTAACCACCCTAACTCTGTCAGTTTTAATAATATCAAAAAATGTCAAATATAATTTTTATGTAACACTTTATGCTTTACAATTTTTATTAAAAACTTTTTTTTATAGCACCCACCGTTTTTAAATAACCTTAAAAAAACACTTTATTTTCTTGTTTTTTGACATTTGCCGGTGCCTGAAAAACAAAATTTTTTTATCTATCGTTTTCAAATACTCTAAAGTGACTTATATCAAAAATTCCTGTATTTTCTCCAAAATTTTGACTTAAAGGTCTATTTGATTGGACTACTAAGGAACATCAGACTATTGATTTTCGATTCTTTAGAAGTTGTATACTTGTTGTAACTAAATAAGTGTAAAACATTTAAGGGGGTGATTCCTCATCGAAAAAAAGATAGGATCTTTCATATAAAGAAACTTCATTAGAGCATCCCTTGTTAAGATACAGCCCCTTAAAGCACTAAACAAGTTACAATATTAAAATTTACCTGACATTTTCTACTACCAAAAAGACACTTAGCCAGTAATTCAGTTGGTTTATCCCATGGTTGTAAGGGGTGGAAAAAAAATGTCTCTTGAATTTTTTGCTCAAAATAAACCAGTTCGCAGCTAAAAATTATTTTACGAACAACTACAGAGATACATCGTCATAAATGCGAACTGGATTTATTGTTATTTTGTAGTTACTACCTGCATTAAATGATTAAAAAGGGGAATATTCAAAACTAATTTATTAATAACAAAACATACAACATGTAGAAATCATAGTAAATGTTCAATATGTCTACCTTCAGACATTACGCATGCATTTAGACGTCGCACACTGGGGCAACAAGCCATCAAAGTTGGCAATAAATCACAGACTCTCTTTATGAATTTGTAAGTTAAATATTGCTTTGTAGAGGTGTTAGTATTACAAATGAAAATACATAGAGGGCTTAAAATGTGTTTGTTTGCTAAAAAAAAAAAAAAATAGAAAGTTATTAAGAATATAATATTATAAAAATGTATATTCTATTCTTAATATCTATTTTTTTTTGTAGCAAATAAACACTTTATAAGCCCTCTATGTATTTTCTTTTGTAATACTAACATATAATATAATAAAAATGTCATGGGCCTAATGAGGCTCAAGTGCTGGGGGGTAATCCACCTTCCACACGTTAAAGATACAGATATTAAAAATGTAATATTATAATAATTTGATTTAGAAAATCTATGATGATTGTAATCAAATTTCATCCTCTTTAGAATGTGATAAGACATTTTCTTCATCGTCTCCACGGTCATCATCAGTGTCATGAATATACCATGGCTATGAAGCTGGACGAGTCCAGATTTAAACAAATCTACTGCTTCTTTAGAAAACTGCTGCAGGCTCTTTCTTTTTTAATTTTCGTTTGCTTGTGATTACAAGGTCGAAACTAAGTAAAAACGAATTAAAGACGTCCTCATTAGTTTTTTCTGTTATTGGTCTATAGGCAACAAAGCAGAATATATTATTTCAGGCCCATGTATAAAGTATTTGTGCAATGTCGGAGGCATATTGACTGTGGGTGCTTTTCAACAAAATATCTAGCGGTGTTGTGAGCAAATTTTATTAATTTCGTTCTTTCCAGAACTTCTTATGATATTAAGAAGTTTCTATTTCGATAAAAATATAGTGTTCCTGAAATAAAATAAAAAATAAATTAAATTGTTATGTGCCAAACAGTGTTATGTTTTATTTATACCGGGTGGGCTATAAAAAAATGTATTTTGTTTTTATTTTCATTTTTTAAATAATAAACCAATTTTGCTGTTCTTAGGCTCATGTTATAGATAACTAACTATGCTCCCAGATATACCAAAAATAAACTAGCTCTAAATCAAGTCATATTTCAATTAGGTTCGCCATCCTGGAATTTAAAATTTCCGCCATTTTAATTTAATGGTCGGAAAGTGTATTTACATATCTACCAAATCAGACCCATTGAGTCCAAATCGGTCAAAAACTAAAATAGCAGCGTTGCAAAGCATAATAATGTATTATTATAAGCTTCTATGAAAACATAAAAACTAGACAACTTTGATTGTCTATATCTTACGATTGAATGGACCAATCGTGCTCGGAGAGGTCTTGAAATAAAGAAAATAGGTTAGATATTAAACTTTTGTTATTAGATTTTATATTTAATTAATAATTATTACGCAAAACGAGCTTAAAATGGGTTACTTTAGGCTCGTTTTTTTTCTTCAATTAGGTCAGCCATCTTAAATTTTACATTTCTGGCATTTTGTTATATCTGTCTGGGAGCATA